GGGGGGGGGGCTTGGATTTGCACGGGAAGACGAGAAGGTGCATGAAGACCTCATTTGCTTGCCTCCGGGAGGAAAATGTCTCCCTACTGTTGACCCCCGTCCCACAACCCGTTCGGCCTCCTTACCGAAATTACCGACCCATAAAACACTAGTAGGGTGTGTAGCTCCTCACCGCGATATCCAGGGTGTGAATGAACTCCAGGAACCCCACGAAATCAATCATTGCGGCGTCCTTGCCGTCTTGCCCCCCTCCGCCGGCTGCCTGGACATGTTGACCGCGGCGGTGAAACGAAGCTTTCTGTGCCTTAGCCGTGGCAGCGGCAACGTCTTCTTCCATGGCAGTGCCGGACCGCAGCATCTTTCGGACGGGCGCCCAGTCTGCAAGGCGGCTGGCCGGCAGAAGCAGCCTGGAGCCGGAGCCGCAGTCGTCCTCCGTGCTGGCGGCAGCGGTGGCGTCGTGCTTGTACTCGAGAACCAGTTCCGTGAATGCCTCTTCGAGCTCGTCCGCCTGCGTGTGACCGTGTGTTGTTATTGTTGTTAGCATCGAACGCGCTAACCGGTTGACCAATGAAAAGATGGCAGTCTCAGTGCTGTGTGTGTACGTTTTTGTGATCCCAGTGGTATCGACGGCATGAACGTGGGTAAGGTGTAGGTGTAGCGGTTCAAACATCTGATAACAGAGTCAACTTTCTACGATGGTGTCGGATTCCCCCCTCCCGCAGCAGTCGTTGTGCAGGTTATCCGAGGCAAAAATACTCGCGAACGGACCACATATCAGAGCCCCCCTCGCTACCAAAAAACAAACAGGCGGTTCCCGAAGTTTTCCGAGCGTCGCCCACCAAACACAGGCCTTCACAAACGGCACCTCTGGCCTTCGTTCAGTCAAGGCTAAACACGGCAGATCGAGCCTGATGATCAGGCGCAGCACCTACCTCCAAGGCAGGTAGGTGTTCGAGCTCTCTAAATAGCAAGGGGTGATGTCGAACCAGGAACTGACTGACGCGGTAAGCCAAGGCGACCCAAGCTGACTGCCACCACCTGTTCACGTGCGTACCTCTAGGTATCCCTTGTCTTGGAGTGTGTCGATCGTCGGCCGCAGAGAGAGGGTCCCTTCCAGGTAGTTGCGGGCATCGCGGTGGGCCTTCTCGAGCTCGTCTGGCGCAACACCCTGCGAAAATAACACAAAGGCAACACAAAGGCAACACGAATCGTGTGTGCATAGCGTACAGGGAACAATTCAACGGTATTTTGAGACTGTGCAGAACGAAAGGCAACAGAATCATGAGATTCCTGAAGCTGTGTGCACAACGTACGGAGAATAAGAATCATGAGGATCTTGAGAAACCGTGTGCATAACGTACAGGGAACAGGATAATGAGTATTTTGTGCACGAAGAGGTGCCCGGGGGGAGCAAAACTGGAAGGTCTCTTCCTCGTCCGGCTGTACTCCCTGAGCGTGGAATGCACAGGGAACAGAATCACGAGAACTCCGAGCGAAAAGGGCGCGCCAGAGGGAGCGAAGAACTGGACAGGGGTGCAAGCATGGTGTACACTCTGCACGGGGTGTCGTGTTGGCAATGCTGTGTCCTCTGTCGATTCGGCTCACCAAATGAAGAAAAAAGAAGAAGCGCTTGCTACAATAGTCGTCATCAGCGCAGAAATCTGCCCCCAACCAGAACAACCAGAGAGAACCGACAAGAAAACGGAGATAGAACACCACCGACACACACTGATCCGGAACGACAAACCCACATCGAGATAAACCCCCTTGTGCGAGAGCTCTGCAAGCGCCGGCCTGTGGGCAAGGCCGTGTGCTAGCGTGTGTGTCAGGTGGGCGCGCTCGACGGCCCCCTCTGTTGGGGTCTTCTCCAGGTAGATGCCCTTGTTGGCCTGCAAAACGGTACAGTTCAGTAGTTGAATGCAACAAGCGAAATAGGGCAGGTTGAGGCAACAGAAACATACAACTCTAAACATGCGTTTCGAAAAGCAGAAGTCCTGGTCTCGTGAACGTGCTCATGGATGTATCCGCTGCCCTGGCCACTGAGTGGAGATAACACCAAAAAACAACGGATACCAACACAAACTCCGGATCAGCAAGAACCAAAACATATCATACCCAAGGTAGCCAATTCCATGCCGGATCCTCTCTGGTGTGGCGAACATTGACCTTGCTACCCTGCCACCGTAGGTACTAATCGTGATAACCTCTAGCATGCTGTCAATCCAAAATATATATTTCGAAGAATATACATTTGATGAGAAAGGATTGAAAAATGTGTGGACGGCATCAACCCTTACCAGGCGTTCGAGGGGCTCTCTCTTGCCAAGCTCCTCCTCCAGCTCGCGGGCAATCAAAGCGTTTCTCCTGAGGGTCGTTCGCACCGAATGGCCCGAAAATGTTTGATAAAGTCGAATCAGATACGTATGTAGCATCAGAGTGAATCGAATCAGCGCCTCAAAAGCTAACCAAGTCAACGGGGGCAGGATGGGCCTAAGGGACTCGGCACTGCTGCCAAGCCTACATACTGTGCTCTTCTTCTACGATGGATGGGAACGGCACGGCGCCAAGCACGCAGCAGGCATTTTCAATCCTGTCCCCGCCCACTATCAAAACTGCATGGTTAAGTCGTTTGTATTTGTCGGATGTGATCACACACATCTGACGGTTGAACAGGAGTTCGAACCTCGGCATAGCCACACGAGCGTTGATTTTTTTCTCACTGCATCATGCCCGCAAACAAACTAGGGACAACGATTTATCCGTGAGCACACTAACCTCGACTTCACGGTTGGCGAGGAAAAGGAGAGGCTGGATCTTAAATCTTTCTCGCGATGAAAATCAAGGCAAGCATTCGCGGCAGGAAAGTGAGGAAAAACGAAATCCTGCGTGTCCTTCTCCCATTAAGACCCTGGCGGGTGCGTCCAAAGAATACCCCAAACGGTGTGAAATCGACACCCAGAAAAAGTGGGATGGCCAAACACACAAAAGGTATCATATGGTGGGGTGGTATATTCCGTATAGCGTGAGCACGTATGGTACAACCACCACACCTGCGGTTCCCCTCGTGGTGCTCCTGGTCCTCCAAGTCTGGCCGCATCCGCATGAGCGCCCAAAGCTTGAGGGAGTAAGGCTCATCCTCCACCTTGCCGAAAACAAAACGGCGGAGGCAGAAGAGTAGACGGCAGCATGAGGAGAAATAGCAACATGGATCAGCACGGGAGGTAGCTCAATCACATACTACAGGGGGAATTAAAGTGGCTCTAAAAGCAATATTTCCGAGTTTCCGTAAGTATTGCTGACGTCGAGAACAGCACCGAGGAACATTAGCAAAGGCAGAGCAGCATTAGATTGTGTATGGTCGAACAACCGCGGGCAGGTAATCAGTCTAAGAATGGAACAACAAGCAAGATGGGCGCACTAGGGCGAGAGGATACGCAGAAAAAACGTCAATCACGGCCGAAAAAGCGAAGACTACAACAACGATAGCAACAAACACACACAAAGGGGACATCGGTCGCAGCTTGCCGCCAACAATACACGCTACTTATTTCAGAGCTTATAAATCCAATTGCAGAAAGACAACCCGTTCGAGACGACAAGACGGTCGCAGGGGGGGTGTTGGGAGTCTTTCCACTGAGTCGGAGAAAACAAAAAAATTGTCTTTGCGCAGGGAGTCATCCACTCACCTGTGTGGTCTTCGCCGAGGACAGGAACTTATCGAACTCCTCGTAGCGCATGTGCTCCCTTTCATCACCGCCGCCACCGCCCTCGCCATCGGGGATCTTCATGGCCATCGCAAAGGCGTCCTTGAGGATTGGCATTCGCACCTGCGATTTGATTTGCGACCACGCTTTGCGGGTGAGTCAACGTGTGCTTGAGTTGACCGATCGAAACCTTATGTTTTCCTTGCCAACGGGGTTCGTTTGAACCGAAAACGATTCAGAGTAGGACACGATGGTTCAAGATAATAACCGAACGATCGATACTGCTGTGGGAACAGCGTACAGCGCAAGGCGACCATTCCCGTGAAAAGCAACCATAGACCCACCGACAACAATACCCAAGTCCGTCGAGGCACTTCAAGAGGTTTGGATGCACCGATTTGGTGCACGGCACTCATCGTTCCACGCTTCACACACAACACAAAGCTTCTGCTTGGCCAGGCCTGAGCGGCATGTTATAACGAAGCCAGAGTAGGACGAAAAACTCGCCGTTTCTGCGTCCGCCGGGACCGGGATGTGGACCGCATCGTCATAACTATACCCGGGAAATCCTCGTTGAATAACGACAACTCCCGACGACCCATATCGAAAAGGACGCGCGTCCAATGGCCAAAATCCCATTCATGACGAGTGATGAAAACCTCCGTTCACGCCCACCCAAATACTTATACTTGTCATTTTTGTCCGTCTGACATTCGTGAGCCGCTCAACGTTGTCCGACCGAACTTAAAGACCCCCCCAACTTTCGCTGAGGGTGGTTTTATGTTGCGCACGGCTGTGTCAGGCAAACCAAACAAAGTAACTGAAGGTCATCGACGACCTCCCACAAGCGGTCCCTGCATGGGTGAAGCTAGCCTTTCATACACCTTTGGCGTTTGGCAACACCAAGCGGGGCTACGCGCTTGGCGCTTTGCAAGCCTGGTGTGCGAAAGACGGCCTACCTTCGTGCCTGCTCTGCAGTCATTCGAGGTCAAACGACTACGGGGCACTCAAGACCATTGGTACCCCCCCCCCC